AAATACATTAAAGCAATAAAGAGAATTTACGACATAACAATTATTATCAAAGAAAATCTTTATTGAATTAAAAATTATTTCTAACCAAATCCAATATTACATCTATGAAAAATCTAAAATTTATTAAAGAAAGAAATCCCTAATTTGTCGATACTAGCTTTGCATTCATTAAGGAAATCTAGCAGTTCTTGCTCATATGCTCACACTAGTGACACCTTTATCTTTCATTTTTCAACCTTTTCTACCATGTTTTTGGCTTCATAAACAACCATAGCGATTTGGTCAAGTAATGACTCCAACTGGTTATGCTTTCTCACATATGCCTCTTTTAATTGCTAACATTCTTCATTCACAGCCCCTATTTGTGTTTCAATTTCCACCACCACTCCATTTAATATTTGGATGTGCTTTTGTGCTTAAGAGAGTGCCTCATCTTTTTCTTATAGCTTTACTTGCAATGGTCCATTTTTTTTTTTAAAGTTGGGCTAGTTCTCGATTAATAGATGATCGTATTGTGTTAAAGTTAGCAAATAAACTCTTCCATTCATATTTTTCTTGTTCGAGCACTTGAACTTCCCTTTTTAACCTTTTGTTTATAAGTTTCAACTCTTTAGACTCTCTTTTCAGAGCAGTAGAGGACTTTGCTAGGCTTTTTATGGATGTAACTGAGACTTTTCTTATTAAAATTATTTTGTGATAATTACTCCTTATGATAGATCTAATAGTGTGAATGCATGCATAGTAAAAAAAAAGGTTAGTAGGCATATAAGATATACAATGAACAATATATAAATACAAAGAACCACATAAAAGGTTAGTAGGCAAATAATATGAAAAAATAACCCATAAATTTATAACCTATAAATTTATAAAAAAAACCATCACATCATATGTCTTATTTAGGATTTTCTAACACAAATGAAGGTATGGCTCTAACATAGGTTTAGACCCTTAGGATTTATTTACATGGTAGGTTCAAAGATTTGACAATATAAAGGTTCTCAAAATGTTTCTTACATCATTGTCTATCATAGACTAGTAAGGCATCACAACCTCACCCATTTAGCCTACAAGAATAAAGGGTTCAATTTGAATGGGAGTTTTTTGCTAACCTATATGGTGACATAAAATCTCACGAAGGCGTAGGTACTTTACTCACTCCTAAGGAATAAGACTCGGGTGTAGAGCTCATGTTATACATATGCAAATGAATGATAGAACTAAACAATAAATAAATAAATAAAATACAAAATAATAGGAAAATTCTTAAATTTATTAAGTTAGGCTTAGATAACAAGAAATCATTTACTAACCTGCTTAATGTCCCTAGTAGAGTCACCAAATTGTCATAACGTATAAATCCATGGACCCATTGCTAGACATAGACTTTAGGAGTTGCCACTAATTTTTTTTTTTTTTTGCTTTTGGTGTGATTAGCCACCTAACTAAATTTGTCACATTCTAAATATAAGTCCCAAACTTGATTTGGATATCTTTAAAAGGTAGATTCTAGTCTACGAAATTAAATTTTAAGTTTAAAAGTATAATTACGAGTGAAGAAGGTTATAGCACTCTTACAGTGCCATCCAAAAGATGGTACCAGTTTGATTTTCAATTATCCAAGCCATAAAGTATCTTTGTAATTTATCAAATAATTTAATTATTAAAAATTGATCTTAAAATTTCTTTAATAGTTTGATAGCAATTTAAGATAATTTTTTCACCTTAAAAAAATTCATGGAGACTAGTATCCCACTCTAAAAATACTCCATTGTCATATTCATTTAATCTTTTTGTTGAAAAAAAAACTTCTTTGTGTAAAAATAATTTATTCTCATAAATATCTTTTAATATGTTGGTAAGATTTTTTATCAAGAATTATCCTCCAATCTATTGGTAAGATCGAAAATTTGTTTGTGCAAATAATTTATTTTCAGAAATATCTTATAACATGTTAATAAGATTTTTCGTCAAAAATTATTTTCCAATCTATTGATAGGATTTTTTTAAAATATATTTTTAAGAAAATTCATTAAGTCTTCCAATAGTTTAGTAAGACTTAATTCAAGAATTAAATCATCTAATAGTTTGGTATGATTGAAAAACATTTTTTAATAATCTTTTTTTAAATTTGGAAAAAGAAAAAAGTCAATTAAAATAAAACAAAAATCATCATGCAAATAATACTATGCAATAATAATATAATATATCATGCAATAAACATAAGTTATCTTGCAATAATATAATATATAAATTATCATGCAATTAATATAAAATATCATGCAAATATATTAAATTATACCAAAATAAGAACTAAAAATAAATTAATAAAAACATCATGAAAAAATAATTTTTTTAATCACATTAACACAATCAACCATTTAAAATAATAAACATTAAAATATAAATATAAAAACAATATATATAAAAACAATAAAATAAAATAAAAAATCAAAATAAAAAATAAATGAAAAAAGAAAAGGGAATACCTACACTACGAGTCAGGTCTCAATTGGGAATAGCGCAGATCCTACTAGGGCTACATGTGAGTCAACCCATCGCTAAAACGACATCGTTTTGCCTTGGGTATAAAAGGTCAAAAAGTTTTTTTTTCTCAAAATGCCTTAACCCATTCTCTTTCTAGCAAAAAAAAAAAAATTCTCCTACCTTTCTCTAAAACACCTTGCCAAATACTTCAAATGGCTGCCAAAATATTCAAACTTCCCAAAAACAGTTTCACAAACCTAGAAAATGGCAACTGTGGTATCCCTTTAGCCAACATGAGAATCCCTTCAATTGCCATAACCCCTATCGAAAAACTTAAACTTTCATAAAAAAGTTCTTATAAACCCAGAAAAATCCAAAAACTTGATTTTAAACCCAGAATATTCTAGAAAATTACCAAAATTCACGTAAAACCCAAGAATCAAATCCAAAGCCCCAAATCAACATAAAATCCACCCAAACTTCCAAAATCAGAAAGAATCTTCCAAAACCAAAGATTAGACCCAAAAATCAAAACCTTAGGATTTATCCACAAATTCCAAAATTGAAAACTTCAAAATTTTCATTAAAAAAAAATAAAAACCTAGAGGACAAGAATCAAAACCCTAAAAAAAATTCCTAGAATGAATACCCAGAACCCAGAACCTAGAACCCAAAAACCTAAACCCATAACTTTTAATTTTTTTTATTTCTTTTTGCCCCCTTTCTTTATGGTTGATAGTCTATTCTTACAATGATTAAATCCCTCTTAAATTTGGAAATTAAATCAAACCAGTCAAAGATTTTATTTATTTTATTTTAATTCCTATGGCATTCGATTATTATGCAAATTGAGATCAAAAGGTTATTCCTAATCAAATCCATTCTTTTCTTTTGGGTTTCCTGACCCTTTTTTTTAACCTTTTGACTTTTTTGTTAGAATTTTTTTAGAAAAAAGTAGAATTAGATAGAAAACGTAGTTTTTATTGAAAAGACGACGTTTTTAAGATAAAAATGCAATCTTTGTTGAAAATATGAAAAAAATATTTTTTAAAATTCGACAAAAATGATATTTTTAAGACAAAATTGTAGTTTTTGTTATAAATATGTAAAAATATATTTTTTATAATTCAATAAAAATAATGTTTTTAAGATAAAAACATATTTTTTGTTGAAAAGTTGACATTTCTAAAATAAAAATACAGCCTTTGTTAAAAATATGAAAAAAAATACTTTTTTCAAAATTATACAAAAAAAAGTTTCTAAAATAGAATATACAGTATTTATTAAAAAGATGTTTATAAGATAAATACGATCTTTGACGACAATGTGAAAACAAATATTTTTTAGAATTTAAAAAAGATAATGTTTTTAAGATAAAAATACAATCTTTATTGAAAGGCGATTTTTTAAGATAAAAATGTAATTTTTATTAAGAATATAAAAACTATATATTTTTTAGAATTTCAAAAATATGATGTTTTTAAAGTAAAAATTAAATTTTTTTTAAAAAAATGATGCTTCTAAGATAAAAATATAATTTTTTAAAAAAATATAAAAAAATAAAATGTAAAATATTTTTACCTAATATTATTGCATATAAAATATAAAGTCTAACTTGTATATTTTTTCCACATAGGGACAAGTAACGATATGATAATAATTAAAATTACAAGATTATATTTATTTAAAATATAAAAAAATTATTTAATTTTGACAAAAATAACGTATTTTCATGTATTAGTATTATAAATATAACATATTATTAATGAAAATATAATAAAAAAAATTATAAAATAATCTTAAATATTTATAAATCAAATATAAAAATATTACATTTTTAAATCAATAAAATTCACAAAATCATATATCTCTCTTTAAATTATTTTTTTCAAAATTAAAAAATTTACTATTCAAACTATCCTCGAGGTGAATATCATCCGCATCAATTTTTAGTATTTTTGTCCCATTTCAAACGGATAAAGACCGATGAACAGAAGCTTCCTAAAACCCAAAAAAAAAAAAAGGAAAAAAAAAGAAAGTCGCTCGATCCGGTTAAAAGCCAGCACGTGCCTTTAAAATACCGATGAACAGATCTATCCTCAAAGTAGAAAGAGCACACAAGGTCGCACGTGTGACACGAATAATGAGAGTGAAAAATGTGAAAATTTATTGATTAAAAAATAAAAATCAAATGATAAACCTCCGGAATAGTAAAGACGCGGTTGTCCAATGCTGTCCACATTTACAAACACGGCCAAAAAAAAAAACTTTTACGTGCTCGGGAGCCGTTTCGGTAAGTTCCCTAGACAGATTTGACGGCGCAGTCATCCATTGACCTCCGGTCAACTTCCCTCTCTATTCCCGATCACACGTGTCCCGAGCTATGCCCAATTTCTCTCTCTCCACGATAAAATGATCCTCAAAGCGAGATATCGGAGAGAGATTGGGAGAGGCTGGGGCCACCGAAGTGGATTTTAGATTTGTATTGAAAAAAAGTAGATTGCGGGGATTTCTTAGAGAGAGAAAGATTTGATTTGAGAGAGAAAAACAAATAGTAATCAAATTAAAATTTAAAAAAAAAAACAAGAAACAAAAGAGACAGAGACAGATAGACGTTGAACATTACAGTGGATAAAAGCAAGGCCACGGAACAAATGGAACGCCTCTCCTCTCCTGTGTTGTTTGTTTTTCTTCTCCTTGTGATGGCGAGAAACGGAGTCGTTACGTGGCGGAGGAGGACGGAGAAGATTGACGGCTCCGATCCTTCACCTTCTGATACCAAGGAAGTTCATGTTCTAGCCGTTGATGATAGCCACGTTGATCGGAAAGTCATTGAAAGGTTACTCAAAATTTCCTCTTGTAAAGGTTGGTGGCCGTGATTCCATAATTTTCATTTCTTTCCTTCTTTGGATTTGAATTGAAGGAGGTTTGGGTTTGGTGCAGTGACGGCTGTGGATAGTGGAAGTAGAGCTTTGCAATTCCTGGGATTGGACGAGGAGAAAAACAGTAATAGTTTTTATGTGAGTATATTTGGAATTTTGTTAAAAACTAAGCTCAATTTAAAATTATTGCAGTGATTCTGTAAAGATGATTACAGCTGACTCTTAGCTTTTGTTGTGATTACAGGGTTTGAAAGTTGATCTGATTATCACCGACTATTGTATGCCTGGAATGACTGGCTATGAATTGCTCAAAAAAATTAAGGTTTCAGTTTCTTTCGAAACTTTGTCAATGGTATTTGAAGCAGGGTTTAATGTTTTATGAAATTTCTTGTTTTTGAACAGGAATCTTCCGCTTTTAGAGAAATCCCGGTTGTAATCATGTCGTCCGAGAATGTTTTAGCTCGAATTGACAGGTATTTTGTTACTTTTTATGTCTTAAATAAATGAAAATTGGCAAATTGTTTTTATATCAGTCCAAAATAATCTATTATTGATGGGTTCTTCTCGATCTTTGATGAACAGATGTTTAGAGGAAGGAGCGGAGGATTTTATAGTGAAGCCGGTCAAATTATCAGATGTTAAACGTATAAAAGATTATATGACAAGAGACTTCAGAGTGGGAGAAGGAGAAAGAGGAATCAACAAGAGAAAGTTGAGAGACAGCTGTGATCTCTCCTCATCACCACCGTCCATTTTATCATCACCAGTGTCATCATCATCATCATCATCATCATCTCCATCACCCACAATTCTATCAGTATCAGCACCATGTTCTCCCTCGTCACTAGATTCTCCCAGCAGACGTCTTAAAATGACAAGCTCTGAGTAGAAAATTTTCTAGTAAAATTTTTAGAAGCCCAAGCCAAGCCTCCTCCCCTGCACTGCAATTCTCCGCTAATGTTTTAACGGTTTTTGTTGCATTTTGCTATCAATCAAGCCTTTCCCCTCCATTTTGTCCTCTTGCTTACTGTTGTACTTACTAATTTTGTTAATTTATAATGTGACAAAATCCAGATGCAAATCCTAATTCTGAATTCTGATTAGATTAATCTTTTTTTTTTCTTTTTTTCTTTTTTTACATATGAAGCCACTTCAATTCAGATGGATTTGGGTTTTGAATTTGAAAAAAATAATGCAAGTAGCAATATATGATATGATAAGGTGGAAGGAGGGGGGCATGATCTTGTTGTCTGGTTGAGAAACGAGGGAATATTTAGACGGGGGATAGGAGGGTGCGAATGGGATTGAGATGTTGTTTGTTCCCTTAAGGAGAGGTTGGATAGGAGTGGGGTACTGCCAGTGTTGTCTGGCTGTTTCTCCCAGAGTGGTATTTTGCTTGCATATGCTTGGCTGTCAAGGGGGCCTAGTTGATACTTGAAAGATTTTTGGACCCTACATTTGGCTGTGAGACTTTGATTGTTCGCACAACAACTTTAGCATGCGAGACGGGGCAGCATTTTTTTGGGGCCTTTTGCTAGGTTTATAATGGAAAGATTGCAAGGCAAAATAATAATAAGTAATAATAATAATAATAATAATAATAATAATTTTATTATTATTATTATTATTTAAGAATATAATATTTTATTATAATTAATCAAATTTTTTATTTTTGATTTTGAATTAATTAAATTTTTAAGTATTTTTTTATTCAAATGAGTCTTCAATAGGACGGAAATAAGTATTAATGGTTAAACAATTTTTTTGAGTAAAGGTTCAATTGATAAAAATAAATATTTAAAAATTTAATTGATTTTAATAAAAAATAAAATTTTGGATAATTAATTTTTTTTTACTTATGTCAAATGAAAAAATATACTTAGAAAAAGAGAAAAAAAAGAAATTATAATCGCCTAGAGAAAAGCCTACATCCAAGGAAAAGCAAAATATGCGACTCGCTGCGTGGGTCGAAATGTTCTGTTTAAAGATCCTCGTTGGGCCCAAAACAAGAGAACAGCTCCAGCCCAAATTGAAGTCTTATTCGTCCCTCCTTTTTTTTTTTTTTTTTTCTGTTTTTGTTTTTTCCCAATTCAGCTTAAAAGTGTCATTATGGAATGTTTGGTTTTGGTATCTTTATCCTTGAGTGCCTGATACGTCTGGGCAAGAATGATAATGAATATCCGTTGTTTGTTTGGTTGTCGGTTACCTCCACATAAAAATTTGGCCCGTCAAAAGTCAATTCAACTATTGGAGACAAAAATCACTAAATTTTGTGTCCTCTTGACAAGGGGTTTGTAGGGAGACAAAATTGGTAGGTTTCAGTAAAAGTAAGAAAATGAAAACAAAAAAGAAAGAAAGAAAGAAATGGCTTTGTGGGTGATTGCAAGTATTATTGCCACCAATAAGCAGTGGATTAATATTAGTTCACTTTGGGTTTGTAAATACACTAAATAGAAGATATCTACTTGAGCTACAAGAGATGGAAGATAATCCCATTCCAGCGGGCCTGGGAGGACCCCAGACTGTTTTTTTGCTTTTCCTCGGGAGGGTGGAATTGACACGACTAGATTATCTTCTTATAGACCCACAAAAGAAAGAAGAAAAAACCTCGTGCAACGGCAGCAGAAATAAATCAAGTCAAGACGACCTTATTGATATTTACATAAAAATGCAGGGTCAGTTGCAAATATGTAATAGCCATACTCGGACTGCAATTTCTGGAAACAAAAAGGTGTGACATAAAAAAGACACACAAAAATGGAAGGAAGATTTAATATCATTTCCTCTTTCTTTTTAAGTAAAGTGGAAAGATTGAGGATTAGACATACAAATAGTGTGTAAACAGGAAATTTCTCTTGTGTTAATATATTAAGAAAAAAAGAAGAAATTTATCGCCAAAAGACTTGAATTTTCATTCTATTGTGTGTATTGTGGGTTTTTAGTGTAGAAAACAGGAAAGTATATTGTTGGTTATGTATTGAAATGTTCCTCCAAGCTTCGAGACGGTCCATGATTACAATTGTAAAAGTTCTCGGTTTTCGGCTCTACAAAAAAAAAAGTGTGAAACTTCATACAAGTTGGGTGAGACCTGTGCTTTCTGTTTGCATTTCCTAGCTAAAATTTAGGTCTTCACTCCAAAGCTTTTTGACAATTGGTCAACGCATAAATGTTTTGGCCCAATAACCCACTTCACCCTGCCTTTCCAAGGCTCCGACTCCCTTCATAAGTCAATTTACTATGGAAAAAAAGCAAACTTTTATGTCAACTTAATAATTTTGGCATTGAATTATAACAATTTGATGCAAAAATAATAGGAAAATACATACAAAGTTGATATATTTTAAAATTTGAATAAAAATAATTTATAAATTTAATAAAAATATATATTTCGTGTTTAATACATTAATATAAATTATATCAAAATAAATTTTATATTATATATACCAAATAAATATGACATAAATACATGAATTACAAATCAAAATTTTCTAGTTTTTGTCCATTAATCCACCCAAAAAATGATTTGGCCTAAAACCCCACTTCGCGCCACCCTTCCAACAAGGTACCAACTACCTCCATAGGTCAAGTTACTCTCAAAGAAAAAAAAAAAAAAAAAGCAAACTTTTCTGGTTGTTCTCGATTCTAATTTCTAGTACAGTTTACAGATTCGTATATAGACAAGTCAACAATGAATTTATAATATCTAAGAAAAATAATGTCAAAATAACGGCAACATCAATTTACAATTTAAATGAGAAAAAGAGTATTCGAATTTGGCTTAAAAGGAAAATTGAATTGGAAGGCCATTTTCATACTTTTGTAGTCAGGACCAAGCCAATAAAATACAATAAAACCAGAAATATGTTTAGATTTTGACCGATTATTGAGAGAAAAGGCCCCATAATCGCATCTGGAGTTGTTTCTATCAACTACTGCAATTACATGAAGATGAAGTCAAAAAATTGACCAAATTAGATTATATAATTTTTCCGCCAAAGATTGAATTCTGATAGTGACTTTTTTTTATTGATATCAATTTGCAATATATATATATATATATATAAATTATAGATAAATTTATTAGTTTTATTTAGGAAAAGGGTGTTTCGTGTTCAGAGAAATTTTTTTAATTTTTTAATTTTTAAGATGATCGTAAATATTTTGCCGTTCCATTTGAACTCGATTTTAAATTTTAATTCCTGAGAATGAGAATATAAAGTACTGTTTGGTTTTTAAAAACATTTTTTATTTTTATTCTTTAAAACAGTTTTTATTTTTTAATTTCAATTTCATTAAAAAATATATTTGGTTAATGAAGATGAAAGATTATTTTTTTTAAACAAAATTAATGAAAATGTGTTAGGCATATTAATTTTTTTTATTTATGACATTAGTATATGTGAAATCATTAAACATACTGTCACTAAAATTTTTTAACTCTACATATAAAATTAAAATAATAACATATGTCCATTGTATATTTAAAAAAATTAATTTAAAAAAAATGAAATATGTCTCACTATATTAATTTCGCTTATAAAATTAAAAATTTTTACTGTTAATATATTAAATAATTTTTATCAATATATCAAATAATTTCTTTTAATACATACGAGTAACATAATTATAATCATTAAATAATTAATCAATTATGAAGAAGAACATGTTAAGGTAAAAACGAGTTTGTGGGGGCATATCTTTATGCAATTGCCTTTGGAGGATTCAAACTCTGGAGGAAAGTGAGACTCGTAAACGGGAGGGCGACTCCCATGTTTTCATCATTTTTTATTTATTTTTTATTTCGTTAGAAAATAACGAAAATATTTTTTTCTATTCTTAGAATTGGTTTTCATTTTCATTCTCTAACAAACAGTTTCTCTAAACTTTTACCAAACACAGTTTTTTAATTACCTTCTATTTTTCATAAAAATGAAAATAAAGAGTGGATATTTTTCTTTAACCAAACAAAAAGATTTTTTCTTGTCAAATTATTTGTACTCTATCAAAATTTGAAATTTAATCATTATATTATAATTCATAAAAATGTAATTCCATATTATAGTAATTTGATAATCTTAATTTAATCATTAGCACTTCAAATTTTTATTGTTAAAAATGCTAACATGACAAATAATTTATTGATGTAGTATATTGATTTTGTTGACATGATAATATGAATAAATAAAATTAATTGTCAAATTATGCAAATAATCAAGTACTCAAACGAAAATTGAATTTTAATCTCTCTAAAATGATTCATAAAAATCTCATCCTCATATAAAATGAATTTGATAATATTAATGTAATTATTAATGCGACTAATTATTCTTTATTAATTGTGCTAACATAACTGTTGTTTTTTCATTAAAGCATCTAAAAAATTAAAAAAAAATCCTTTAAAAAATTGAAAATTTTGAAAAATAAAAAATCTACTAAATTTAAAAAAAAAAAACTGATTTTTTATGCTTTTTCAAAATTTTCTAAAAACTTTAGATTTAACTTTTTCAGTATTTTTAATTTGTTTACAAAATCATAATATTAAATTTATTTTTTAAAAAAAGCAGGCTTTAATTTTTAAAAAAATCAAATTTATGAACTCCATAGAATTTTTCCTAATTTTTTAAAAATATCAAATTTAATACTTTTTCAAATATTTTAATTTTATTAAAAAATAATATTTTTATAAAAAAACCAGATTTAAATTATTTTAAAATTTTTAATTTTAAGAATTCTTTACAATTTTTCCAATTTTCTTAAATTATTCAATTATAATTTTTTCAAATTTTTAATTTAAAAAATCATATTTTTAAAATTTATTAATAAAATCATATTTATTTTTTAAATTTTCAATATTCAATTTTTAAAATTTTTAAAATATTAAATTTAATTTCTTCTCAAAATTTTATCTTTTAAAAAATATTTTGCAATTTTAAAAGTTTTTATTTGATGAAAATATTTAATTTTTTTTTAATTTTTTTAAAATATTAAAATAGTAAAAAAAATTGAAGTTAGTATTTTGAAAAATCTACAAATTTCTAAAAAATTGGAAAATTTCAAAAGTTTTTATAAAAATTTCTGATTTTCTTTAAAATTTTAAAAATATTATTTAAAAAAATAAAATATTGTTATAATTTTAAATATTATATTTTTAAAATTTGGAAAAGATATAAAAATTTCAAAAATTGAAATTATTTTTTTGAAAATGAAATCTGATTTTTCCAAAAAATTCAAGAAATATTATTTTTAAAAAACTTAAAATATTGGAAAAGAATAAAATTAACTTTTTTAAAAATCATAAAAAGTTATAAATGATTCAAAATTTTGAATTTTTTTTAAAAAAATCCAATTATTAAACAAATTTAGGAAATATGATCTTTTTAATTTAAATATTGGAAAAAATAAATTGAAAATTTTGAAAATTTAGGAAAAAGCCAAAAAAAATCCTTTTTTCATTTTTTTTCTGGATTTTTTGTTTTTAGATTTTTTATGTTTTTCTACAAAAACAACAATCACATCAGCAAAGTTTACAAAAAATAATTGATCGCCTTAGTAATTGGATCAATATTATCAAATTTTATATATACGAAAATGAAATTTTTATGAATTATACTAGAGAGACTAAAATTTAAAATTTGTGAGTGCAAAAATCATTTGCATAATTTAATAAATTAATTAAATTCATTCATGTTGTCACTTAGCAAAGTCAATGTTATATCAATAAAGTTAATGTCAAGTTATTAAAGTTAATACCTAAATTATCAATTCAATAACTATGTTAATAGTTTAATGGTAAAAATTTGATGGCATTAGTGAATAGATTAAAATTATTAAATCAAAATAATATAAGAATTATATTTCCCTAAATTATAGTAGAAAAATTAAATTTTAAATTTTAATAAAATACAGAGAGCATTATTATAATTTAACGATATTTTATCAATAGATCACATAATTGTTAACATTATATTATATAATTTGGTGAGTCACTTCCCCTAATTATTTCTATAATACAAATAAATTCAATAAAATTCTTGGGGGGTTTCTTTTAGCATTTAAATTAATTAAAGATCCAAGTTGACTTTCAAATTTGTATCTTAATAAGGTCTCTTACTTTATATTCATCCATCTTTGATTTATGCATATGTATATAAAGTCAAGAATTTTGGAGAACCACCTTCCATTATGCTACAATGATTCTGAAATTTTGATAGGGTCTTCTCTGACTTGTTTTGATTACGTTTCAAAGGAAATAAACGTTTTGGTAAAATTCTATTAAAATAATTTAACGATTATTTTTCACATATTCACAGCTATATATATTTTACTCGTTCAAGGTTTTCTGTAAGTTGCTAATTCAACTGTTCTGAAAAGGTAAACAACCACTCTTGTCCACGATACAGCGGCGGATGCAAATGGAAAAGTACGTGCTCATACGCATTTAAAATTTGAAATTTTAAAAAAAAATTTAACAATCCAAAAAAAATATTTTAAACATTTTTTTAATTTCCTAACCTCTCCAATCTTCATTTATTGCCACTACTCGATACTTAAATCACATCCTACAATTAACCAACATCTAATTGTACTATTAAGTACTAGTAATAAAAATATTGAAAATTCCAAATCCCAAGTTTAAAATGATGAAAGCAGGATTAATAAGTAAAAAATTAATCTAATTCCTTTTAACGAGGGTATTTTAATTATTTTAAAGTGCAAAAAACTTGGATTTAGTAATTCGAGTAATAGTGTTTATTATTTTGTATGTAATATGTATATAATATAAAAATTATATGTTATAATTTTTTTCATATATTAAATATAAAATATATTTTTATTGAATTTATATATAATATTTATTAAAGTTTTGTACAGTATTTTTTTACTATATTTTTTCATGTAATATCATGATTTCAACTATCAAGTTTATAATTGTTACTTATATCCGCGAGCAACCAAAATGGAAATGGAAAACGAGTAACCACTCTTTTGAAAGTGTCAGCGACCCGGTTTACCAGATGCACACGACGAAAGGATAATCTTTTATTCCTCACTATTGAAAATTCAAAACATTTATTCTCTTCTGATCTTCTCTACAATCCAACTCTATGATGGCTGTCAAGTTTCAGACACTGTTTTTTCTCAACCTGGTGCTTTCGTTTTTCATTTCTGCCTTACCTTCCCAAGGTTCTCAAAATATTGAAGTTTTCTACCCAATCCAACCCCCACCGCCTGCCCCAGAACCAATTTCACCAAAACCTTCAAGTTCTCCTCCAAGTCCAGAAAGGCCGCCAGGTTCACAACCGTCGCCGCCATCATCACCATCTTCATCGAATGACACCAATAAAACTATTGCAAAGGCAGTAGGTGTAACTGCTGCATGCACTATAGTTATTGCAGGGATGTTCTTCTTTTTCATTAGAAAGTATGCTTTTGCACACCGCAAAAGAGAGAGAGTTGGGGATAGTTTCCAGGGAGGTCAGCCTAGAGTTCATCCAGATGAGTTTGCAAGATTTAATGGCAATATAAAGGGTTTAATTGTAGATGAGAATGGTTTGGATGTGCTTTATTGGAGACAGCTTCAAAAAGGAAAAAACAAAAGCGGGTTTGGTAAACAGATTATGCATAGTCCAAAGGATGAAGAAGTAGGAGGAATGGTCCGAGAAGGAAGCCGAAGCAAGAAGGTAGAGCCTGTGCGGGGAATTCCTCCGCTTCGTGGGAAGTCTTCCACTTCCCATGGTCCACCTCCTAAAGATGATGATTCAAGTGAAACTATAGGTCCTCTACCTCCTCTTCCGTCTCATGGGATTGTCCTAAAAGCCGTTGAGAAAAGGGAAGCACCGGTTCAATCAAAATTTTTAGCTCCAGCATCAATGCCACCTCCACAACCCTCAATCCCACCACCTCCATTACCGATTCAAAGCAATAAAAGTCCAATAACACCTTCGCCTCCACCTCCACCTCCACCTCCACCAAATAGAACTCCTGCGCCGATACCTCCACCGGTTCCAGCGAAAAGTCCTGCCCCACCACCACCACCTCCTCCTAAAGCAGGTGGTTCAGTTACGTCTTTGAAACCTCCTACAGCAGCCAGAGATAAGTCTACTGGGGGTAAACCAGGGGAGTCTTCTGGAGATGCCACAGAAAACGGAAATAATCAAGTTAGATTGAAGCCATTGCACTGGGATAAGGTGAACAAAAATGTTGATCATTCCATGGTGTGGGACAAAATCAATGGCGGGTCTTTTAAGTAAGTTCGATTCTACTATTTCTCAAACAACTATGAACAAACTTTATTCTTTTGCTGATTTTGATCTTCTTTTTTTCAATTGATTCTTCAGGGTTGATGATGATCTTATGGAAGCTTTATTTGGATATGTTGCTACAAGTAGGAAATCCCCTCCTAGTAGTAGTAACTCAAAGAATACAAGGAATATTAACACTAGCTCATCATCACAAATCATGGTTCTTGATGCCCGAAGATCCCAGAACATAGCAATTGTGCTCAAATCTCTGGCTCTCTCTCGTAGGGAACTCCTTGAAGCCCTGAATGAAGGCCAAGGGCTTGAGGCAGATACTGTTGAAAAGCTCATGAGAATTGCCCCCACAGAAGAAGAACAATCCCAAATCCTTAATTTTGATGGAGATCCAACAAGACTTGCCGATGCTGAGTCCTTTTTGTTCCACATTTTGCAAGCTATTCCATCAGCCTTCACACGTCTTAATGCCATGCAATTTAGATCAAACTATGACTTGGAAATTCTCCACATGAAGGAGTCTTTACAAATACTAGAGTTAGGGTGCAAGGAGCTTCGCACTCGAAGACTGTTTATGAAACTGCTGGAAGCAATACTCAAAGCCGGCAATCGCATGAATGCTGGAACTGCCCGAGGTAATGCTCAAGCTTTTAATCTTACTTCTCTGCTTAAGCTCTCTGACGTTAAGAGCACCGATGGAAAGACAACTCTACTCCATTTTGTGGTAGAAGAAGTGGTCCGGTCCGAGGGAAAGAAATGTTTTATCAGCAGAAGTCGTAGCCTGAGTCGCAGCAGCAGCCATAGCAGCAATGGTAGCTTTGATCATTTAACATCAAAAGAGGACAGAGAAAAGGAATATATAACGCTTGGATTACCAGTAGTAGGAGGCCTTAGTTCTGAGTTCACTAATGTGAAGAAAGCAGCCATGATAGATTTCAACACATTTTCTGGCACTTGCTCAGCTCTTTCTGCTCGTGTAGCAGAAATCAAACAGCTAGTATTGCAATGTATGGCTGATGGAAAAGGTGGATTTGTGCAAGAACTGAAAGGGTTTATTGATGATGCTGAAGAGGAACTGAAGATTATAAGAGAGGAGCAAAAAAGAGTGATGGATCATGTAAAAAGAACCATAGAGTATTATCAAGCAGGGCCTTCAAAGGATCCTTTCCAAGTATTTGTTATAGTTAGAGACTTTCTAGGTACGGTCGACCAGGTCTGCGTAGAAATAGCTAGGAATCAACAAAGGAGGAAGTCTTCAACTGCAAGTTCTGGATCACAATCACCTAATTCTCATGATTCAAGAACCATAAAGAAGTTCCCAATCTTGCCCGCAAATTTCATGACAGGCAAGTCCAGGAGCAATTCTAGCGAATCGGATGTAGATTCATGACCATGAACAGGTCTTCATCACAAAGCCAATGTACATAAACTTCATAGCAAACTTCTAGATTCACAGCAAGTATAGCAAAATGATTATTGAATTCGTCCATTTGTTTTGTACCAAATTTTGATGAAGTGGTAAATATAATGAAGTCTGATTTTTCTGATTTAAAGTTTAAACTTGTTCCATCGAGTAAGCACCGGAAAGAGGAGTGGATTTTTGGACTTCAAAGTTCAAAAAGTAAGAAAAATAATCTACATGATCAAATAGAAAGAACGATCATGGTACTAACAAATTCTCTATTCAAGTGTGCAAACTAGAACAGATCATGCATCTGTAAAGCTAATATTAAATTTAATTTATATTTGATGTGCTCTCACTATATAGATCTTATACATTGTGAATTAGACAACGCTATCTTATCAATAAATAAATATCAACCTTAAAATAGATTTAAAAAAATTAATATTTTGTTAAAAAATTACTTATTAATGAGGTATAAATAAATTATGTGCATCTTTCTGGAACCATTGAATTATAGGCAGATAATACATTAATCATATACTTGAATAATCATAAACATAAAACTAATATTTGTAGGTACAAGCTATACGTAGAGCTGAAGAGAACACTGCTTTTGATTGGGCAAAAGCATAGCTGATGTCCTGAGTATCTATTGTTGAATATCAATTTAAAAAGACAAAGAGCATGACTGGGTATCTCCTTGCACATTGCTTATAGGTATAGCTTTAAGACTCTGTCTCTCTCTCTCTTGCAACCAAACACACGCAATAACAGCCCTCACACTTGGTTGCCTGTAATTGGGCAGTGTTCCCCACTCATGCAAGAACAAGCTGCAAGAAAGGCTAGCCAAAGTCCACCATGACAAGTTGGCGTGCTAAGTAAGAAGAACGTTTCTCCCTTTTAATGAAAATACCAGGAAATTTTAAGCGAACCCAGGCGATTATGTCCATACAAAGTTATTTTGATATTATCAAATGGCCCTTGCCCCTTGTAGTCTTCGCGAACATGACTCCATAACTTTCAATGGCATAACGCAAAGCTACAAGAAATAAGCCATATTTATTAAATCCAATTCCAAACCAAGCCGTTTCGATTAAAATAGCAAAACCAATCCCATGAAAATGTAAAAAGTTTAGGCAAGAAAGATACTGCTAAGCAATAATATCAAAAATTAGAACTAACTATTGTCGGGAAATAAACAGGCACAGTATTTATGCACACAAACAATAAAGAAAGTCTAAAATAAGAATAAGAATTAATAAATACATTTATTTCGGCTTAACCCAAAATAACCACTCAATCCACTAACAAATAAAATTTTACAACTGTATGATTTTTGAAATAAAAAAAGTTATCAAAATTTTTTATTCAAAACTTAACTCAAAACTCAATTACATCTTTTTAATAGTCCACTCACTTAACTTTCTCTTTATGTCTAATTATTTTTTGAAATTATCAAACTAAAATCAAAATATCTTATTTATAAGGATGAAACTTTTTTATACTTTAACTAAGCTCTCAATGTAAGATATAAAACAAACTCTCAACTCTTATAACTTCACTCAATTTTCGATATAGGATTAAAAGAGTCAAAGAAAATCTCAACAAATTCTCTCTTGACTTGAATCTCAAAACACTTTAATAGAATCTACAAAGCTAACATGCTTGTCCTTGTTCTTTTTTTTTTTTTGTCTCAAGAATTCTAACAACTGAATCTCTATCAAGTATATACAAGTGATTTTTGACCTATTCTTTTGTAGAATCACACAACTATTTTTGTACACTTTATACCAATCATTTCACCCATAGTATGTATACCCACAAGAAGTTAACTCACTCAATCAAAATTGTAGCTACAACTCAATACATACCTTTCATGACAAAGAGTTTTAACAACTCCATTGTGAGATCTAAGATAAACACTCTCAATGCCTTAAATATGCACATTTTCATTGTTGACAATCACAATATCCCTATATTTCTCATTCTCTTCCAACTCTCTAAAATAACTTTTATCATTGCAAACATGAACAGTAGCAGTTGAATTAAAACCTAACCTTTATCAACTTTCAAGGTTTGAGTTTCATCCACACAAGTCGTCAAAAGGAAACCATCATTAAACATAATAGTTGTAGTGTCACTCTTTTCTTCATCTGACTTCTTCTCATCATTCGCCCTTTTGATAGCAATCATATTTCTTTTCAGCTTATTGTAGTGCACTTGGATATGTTCTTCTCACTATAGTGATAACATTTGATATAATTGTAATCTCTGCCTCTTGACTTGGATCTCCCTCGTGATCCATCAACCCTCTCTTAATTCTTCCTTCAATTAGATTCCTCTAAAGGTAGTACACTCCTTTCAAGTAATGAGTTCTTCATTCCTATAAAACTTTCATTCTCTCGCAATAAATCAGTCATATAATCTAACTTCAAAATAAATCTATCCACCAACAAAGTCTGAACTAGAAATCTATAAAACTTGGGCAGAGATGACAACAGAATTAAAGCCTTCTATTTACCTTTTAACTAATCAAAAGAAATAGCCAGCAATTGAGAAACTAACTTATTAAACTCATTCAAATGATTATGAAACTCATACATTCTTTTATCTTCAGAGAATACAAATCCATCTTCAAACATAATCTATTAATCAATGATTTCGATGCGTAAATACCCTCAAGTTTACCCCACAAACTTTTCAAGTACTTTCAGTCAGTACACTATAATTTATCTCTATGACTAAGGCCAATTTAATAGTACTATTAGCCTTCTTTTGAAGTCTATTCCAATTACTATCAGTCATTCCCTCAAACTTAATACTTTCTATTACTTCATCTAACTCTTATTGGATTAATAGATCTTGAATTGTATTTTATTATAACATAAAAGTATTCTTTCCATCATATAAAGAAATCTCAAACTTAGACATACTAGCCATACGTTCAAACACACTGTCTTCATGATCCTCGGGCTTGCCTCGCTCTTATTGGGAAATAAACACATATAGTACGCACAAACATAAACAATAGAGAAACATAAACAATAGAAGAAGCTCAAAACAAGAATTAGAAGCCTAATCGAAAATGTTTTATTTCAAACCCAATCCATTAACAAATAAATATTTATATCTGTAAAACTTTTGAAATGAGAAAAGTCACAAAAAACTCTTTACTCAAAACTTAACCGTAAACTCAAATAAATCATTTTAATAACACACTCACTTAACTATTCTCTTAGTGTTTTAAAATTATCAAACTAAAAATAAAATATCTTATTTATAAAAATGAATCCCTTTTGTACCTTTATTAAACTCCTTTTGTATAATATAAAATAAACTCTCTAATTTTTATAATTTTACTCAACTTTTGACATAAAATTAAAAGATTTAAGGCAAATCTCTACAACTATGACTTACCGTGCAATGCAAAGATTCATTCAGTTGATCCAAATGCCAAACTTTATCCTTTGGCCAACGAAAATAAATAGGAATGCTGCCAACCTACCACTTTAGTTTTTAGCGTAATCATTTTCATTTTTATCAATTTTGGGGAGTTTGTCAAGTAGTATTATATGACACCACTTCATCACGAAGAACCACCAAGCTTTTAATCTCATGTCTCAATTTCAGTGGAGTTGTGTCAAACATTGGCTGTTAAACGTTAAATATCCTATGAAAAGATGGCGACTTTATACTTCCTTTCTTGGTTTATTGTTTCTAGTTTTTTTTTTTTCCACGTTGGGAGAAAAGGGTCGTTGAGTGTCTCAAGTCTCTTAACCATGGTAGTGTCATGAACTCATGACAGCTACAAGGTAACATAACCATGATCTAAAAAAGGAGCACTGGATTCTTACCAACGCCAGAGATTAAAAATAGTGATCAGCAGGCAGGAAATACTAGTGAAGAACCAAAAAGGCTGGTGATGGTACACCATGGACTTGGTGTCGATATTGCTTGCACAAACTCCACGGTTCACTTGAGATGCCGCAGTTGCCAATTTCTATAAAATTAAGAAATTGCGTGGAAGTCAACTCCTTATAAATATGAACACTTGAACAAAAATATCGTATCTGTCAGGCCTGAAACTCAAGCTGATAATATGTTTTATCTGACTTGTATTAACATGGCAGTCTCCTGTCGCGGTATATGTTTTCATACTATGATTTCAATATTTTTATAACTGGAAACTTGGTTTTCGGTGGTTGGCAGGATCTGACTTCAGTAAGGGTGTTAAATTAGATGGACTTTTGCTCAAACAAAAAAAAGTAAAAAAAAGGAAGATCCCTGACTCAGATTTAGATTGTTCAACAGACTGTCTCCTATGGTCGCTCGATTGCTGCTCCTTTGAGATCCCAGGCATAAATCCTAGGTCGTTCTTGGAAGTTGGAACTTGAAATAAGCTCGAGTTACTCTCAGCTGTTAAGCAATAATGCAAGTTTGACTGGTGTGCGCTGTCTTAGCACTAGATCCCATGTAAAAGTCATAGAAAACGATCTCAAACAACGAGAATAAGAGGTTGCTGGAACTTTGTTGGTACATATATAAGCATTCAGTGGTTCTTCTATTCATATTTAATAACTAAAGACCAAGAGTGCATTTGGATTCCACGAAAACCACCTTTCAGCAAGATTTACCTTCTTTTTGTGTGAAATCACACTAGGCAAAGCTTTTGAAAAACAAAAGATGTTGCAATTACACAACCAAAAAAAAAAAATTTCTTTCCGCGGCTGAAAAATCTCATTGGAGGCAAAGGAGTTCGTGGGATTTTCATTCCATTGCAGGCCCTTTTTCCATAACCCTTGCTGCTTTTTTTCCCTTGAAACTGTAGACATTTTTTTTTCAATTTTTTCCTTTTTTAACTTTATTTTAAATAAAAATAATTATTATTTTAATATAAAAATACAATTATCTTTTATATTATAATAAATTTATATAAATATTATTATCAATAATTTTTAATTATTTACTAATTTCATATACATTAAATAATTTAAATTTTTTATTTTATATAAATTTTAATCTAATGTTTTTAATAATTATTTTTTATTTTACTATATTTTATTTTATCTTCAATGTTACATTTGCATCAAAATATATCTCACTATTAATTTTAATCTTAATGTTATAATATTTAATCTCACTATTATAATAATTAAGAGTACTATCACTGTTGTTTTCAATCTACTCCTCTATTCAAATGAACCGTAAATAGAAATCATAGATACGGGTTCAATAAACCCTACTCCTATCTCTTTTTAGATGCTATTAAAATGTCCATTGTGCATTTGAATAGCTACAGTAAAATTTTCTAAGGGAAAGGTGAGGGAAGCAACAGTTCATCATGAATGGAAAAAAGCCACAACTTCGATATCTCCTTCACCATCAAGGTTGAGGCATTCAAATAGGCGGCATGTGACTCATCAACGACAGATCCTAGAAGGGTTACCAACAAGCCAAAAATATTGTGGCATGGGTCCCCATTGAAAAAAAAATGCCTTCAAATATACCTTTCCTAGCCCAGCGATGTAGTTAGCCTCCAAAGCTGATGTATTTCTTACGACTCTTTTCCAATTTTCTTTATATTAAACATTCTTGACTCAGTAGTTGTAGATGATGCGTGGTTCATTGACCCGAGGAAGCCAGGCTATCGATGGATGTGACTCTTGGTACCTATCTGCAAAATTACATACATGAAACGGTACATGTTAAGATCCAGGAAACCAGTTTTTCCAGTACTACTAACTGGTTGAGTCTAAAAAAATCATAGGATATGTAAAGAATAAATTACCGAAAAACTGGTTTATGATACATCATGTAACATGATTATGATACATCTTATAGAAAATTTCAGTAAAACTTACAAAAATATACATTGTCATGATGAGGTTAAGACTTAAGAAAGAGATAATCATATACATTATGTCCTATAATAAACACGTCATGGTGCGCACCACCAGACATACACCAACCTTAAGACAACAGAGCAACACAACCACAGGCATCAGTCTCTCTACCATATCGGCTATAACTTAAGCGTTACTGGTAGTTCCCCAAAAGTTAAGTATTCCATTGCAATCATAAAGAATTCCGCATTAAGCATTGCAATTAAAATAACAAAATTAAAGGCATGATCCAAATATCAAAATTGCGAAAATCTTGGCATCAACAAACTAATTTTTTACCAAAGTGAAAGGGAAATGAATGATAGTTTTATACATATGCCTCAACAGGTGATGGAAAAGTATGCTTTAAGATGATCTGCATCGAAGTTTCATGTTGGATGACGAACAAACTATGTCAAATTGAAAACAAGGGAACAACAACAACAGGAAATTACCTTATCAAGAGGGCATTTTGATGTTCTCTGTCCATGACAAAAACCAGGAAGGGGTGTAGCTTCAAAATGAAGGCTCTGACTTAATTTTTTTACCTCCGCTTCTCTGTTATCCTGTGTCAATCATACAATGTTGAGCAATTGCCATTGTCTAAATTAGGTAAATCATATGCCAGGAAGTATATTCTCAAGAGTGGCGACATTTTCTCTCTTAGAATCTGACAACCAAAATGTCAGTTAGATATCTCTTTTTACGTTATGTTTAACTCATTATGAGACTTTATGAGTATGTGCAGCTGTATCAAGTTGATGACAAGAATGGGAAGACCTGTCCTCGACAAGAAAATTAACAGTACCTTTGATTTTGTCTGGAGATGTTTCCTCTCTGCTACTCTACCATTGGATTTTTCTTCCAATTTCTTGGAGAACTGAAATAAAAGATATGAGATGCTGAGATTCTAACTATAGACAAACAATTTACATTAATGTCAAAAGAAATTGTGCGTGTGATATAAAAGACAAGAGCAAGGAGTTTTCAATATATACCTCCTTTCTTCCCTCCACCCTTTCATCGCTTTTCAGGCCAAAATAAGATGAGGCAACCTTAGCATTCTTTTTCTCCATACCACTAACGCTAGAAGACCTGTAACAAATCAATTAATGCAAAAATGAAGAATTTTCAAGATGATGATGCTTTAGGCACATGCATAAACCTCTGACTACAAGTACTGGAATTGATATTTTAAGATATTCCAGCTTCCTGAAAAAGAAGTGGAGAAACTGATAGTATGAATTTTAAATTAAGGCAAGTTAATGTAGGCCTGCAAATTTAAGGCCACAAAGAAGCTAATTGTTTTTGAAGCAAATGAGTTTTCTAACAAGAATGTTCATTCAAGTGGTATTGTCCAATAGGTTAAATATCAGCGATCCAACAAATAGGATCTTGTTAATTGCCCAATCCCCACTTCATCCTCCTCACCCTTCCCCCCACCCCAACTCCATTTTCGCTGTAGGTAATTTCAGCCTCAAAATCGAAAGATGCAGAAAAAAGGAGGGAGGGAGAAAAAAGAGGATAGACAGAAATGACAAAGCTTGGTAATGATATGATAATCAGTACTTCAGTTAGAAAAAGGGAAACTTAATCGATGGAAGAAAACAACTGAGCACAATCCTCTTAACTTTCAAATATGCACTTTTTCTACATAGCCATTGAACAATAACTCTCTTTCAAACTCCCTACAATTATGAGCAAATACTTTTACACTTTCAGCTATGATGATTTATTAACCTGAAATATGAGCTAATCCATTAAACAATAACTAGAAATAGAATTTCAGAATTAAGTTAAAAATGAAAATGGCAACTATAAGTAGGTTAGCCCACTCTTTGTACAAAAAGAAAAAAATGACAATTAATTCTAACAGGTTTATGGCAAAGATACTAGATACCTCAGAACCTAAAATCACTACATCCTACACAGAATATTTGAGTTCTCACATGCTGGATGATTGCTTTTTCATATTTTGCACACTATCACTTCCCTATTAATATTAGTTTTAACAGAAGAAATAGTTTAAGCTTCAAAAAAAAAGGTCTAATGTGAACGTGATAGATAATAGCAAAGACCTAGTTATCCAAAATAAAAGATAGTGTTGTCTATATCCAACATCAAATCTATATCAGGACTCAACAAATTTGCAAATCCACTGATGCAAGCATGTATGCATCTATCAGATGAAATCTTTAAACTCAGAACCTTACCCTCCATTCTCCTTTTGTGGAGTCGTCAAAGTGGGAAACCTTGGTTCTCTCCCCTTTGCAGGCACCTGCCCGAAGAAAATTGAAAGAAAAGTTCCATGAATGTGAATTTATGTAGTAGAAACGGAGATGTCAGCTAGATTTTAAGGGTCAAAATAATACCTGTTTTGTTGCTGGAGATTGCTCCTGACTGGAAGGTTTCAATTGGTTATAATTACTCTGAAATGTCTTAAATGCTCGTTTGACAATGTCCTTATCTCCCATTTTCTCCATAATTAAAGATTTTCTTGTTGCTGCAAGGGAAACTGGGCCAGAACCTGACGGACCTAAACTAAGGGACATGTGCAAGGATCTAGGAGCCACTTTCTTGCTTTCTCCCACAGAATTCTTGGTCTTTGGTAAAGAACAAGATGAAGTTATTCCTGTTTTTGATGGAATTCTTGATGCAGACGATGTAGCAGAAGTTGATGTTGGCTTTGATGCTCTAGGTGTAGACAATTGTGGTGTTTTGGCCACAGGGGAGATGGGTTTCTTCTTTATCCTTGTCTCATTTCTCTCCTTAGTCACTGGTGTAATCTAGACAACCAAAACGAGAGAAGAAAGCATCATATGCCAGAATCCGAAGAGATACACTACTAGTTCACTTGAGTCAAGCTTTCCAATTTAACAAATCAGTTCAAAAACATGATGAACTAACCTTGTGAGATTTTGCCGAATGACCCAACTTTACATTTTTATCTTTGATCTTTGGAGTGTTTTCTATGTCTTTTTCTGAGTTCTGTGGTAGCTCCTTCAAATCTTGAAACCCCTTGGAAAGGGTTTCCACTTCTTGTTTTACCAAAACGGCTTCATCTGCAGCATTTTCTTCCAGAATCTTTAACTTTGGACTTTCCATTGTGCTATGTGTTTCCTCTTTCTCTTGGCTTTCTACTCGGCTATCTATTTTCTCTTTCACTAGAATCTCCAACCTGCCATCTATTTTCTCTTTCACTCCCTCAACCGTTAAGTTTTCACATTCCTTTGCAATTTCAGGCTCCTTATTCGGCTCATCATAGTAGATGTCCTTCACCTTACTTGCCAAGTTAGTTTCCTGCCTATCTTCTTCATCAGAGTACTGACCATTAGATTTACCAACCAGATCTCCACCATTCTGATGATTTGATTTCAAGGATTTACTCTCCAATGGCTTCTCTTGCGCCTGTAGTTCAGCTTTTCTTACAGCAATCTTCTTGTAATGTTCTTCAAAGTAGGCCTTTTTCTTAGCCACTGATCCCGGAGTTGCACACTTCTCAACCTCCTCCAAGTACTTATTCGGAGAGAAAGATGTCCATTTCTCCCAAGAAAGTGAATCATTCTCAAATCTACCGAACGAAACTGAGACTTCAAGAGCAGGATTCGAAGAAGCCATCTCCCCAATCTATTTACATCGCATAAAAAAAAAAAAAGTTTGAAGCATATACAGAAACAACAAACAGAATGACAACTAATAGCAATACTCAAAAACGAAAAAGCCATGGAATTGATGCAATTATGAAGTGCAAACTCAGTCAACAATCAATAACAAACAAAATTAAATTTCGCGAAACAATAATGGAAGGTGAAATTAAAACAAATGGGCCTACTTTTTTCCAGATCAAAGGGACAAAACTTGTGTACCTTCACTTCTTTGTTTGAAGCATCTACTATTGGTTCACCCATTAAATTCTCAAAATACCAAGAAGACCCAAACTTGAATTACCACAAAGCTACCACATCAAGACACAAACTTTAAGCACAGCATTTCCTAGCAGCTGATATTGGGGAGCCTCATTAATCCATTGGAATACACACTCAAAAAAGCCGAAGAATAAGCACTTCAAAATAAAGACAAAAATAAACCTTGAAAAATGAAACAATATGTAAGAAATAAGAAGAAAAAGAAAGCATGTGCTCATGTCTATATTATTTAGTTCTTACACTGCCTGATTTCTACAATTGTCAAATTCACCTGTTCATACTAAAATGACAATCTTTACCTGTTTCTTGTACTTGTGGAGAGGCCCAAATAATAAACTTAATCATCAAAGCCAAAAAAACCAGAGAAAAAATGGGTAATCAAAAGTAACAAAATCCATGAGATTATATTTCCAAAGATGATTTAACTTTGGAACTTTTCAGTACTATTGATTACTATTATTTCAAGTGGAAGAAAAAGTTGAAAATAAATAGATAAATAAATAAAAGAGAAAAGAGTTGTTTTAAAGTAACGGAGATAGGCAATTAGGCTAAAATGGTTGGTTGGATGAATAATGAAGATCCAACAAAAATGACAGTCGGCCACATTGAGTAAACAAAGGGGAGGTGTAACAACGAACCTCAATAAATATTAATGATAGTACTACATACCAACGAAAACTTTCAGTCAAAATCTGAGAGAAAAAGTGATGAGATGAGGGTTGAAATATGGAACAGCAGATTGGGCAAGGAAGGGCCCACATTGGAAGGTAGTGAAGTGAGGAGCGCTTCTGAGAGACGAACAAGATGACAGGTTGCTTTGCTGAATTAAAGATCAAGCCTGCCTTAGGAAAGTTTGTGGTTGTGGACCGGACCCTTTGATTCATTTTTGTTGAACTAAAACGATGTGTGCCATTGCCTTTGCCTGTCTGCCACATTATTTGACAATTGACAGAGAATGGAACAAGATTAGAACAACGGCTCCTATCTTCCATTTTACTCTGATATTTCTCATCACAAAAATCATTTCAAAATCCCTCTAATGAAATTTTCTATAAAAGGTCAAGTTGTGAATTATAAATATATACTTATATATATATAGGTAATTTAATTGATGAGTAAGAGTAACCATGAAACCATCAAATATTTGTGTACATAGAACTTAAAAACTTTCAGATAGTGTTCGGGTTGAGAGAAAATAAAATTTTTTATTAGAATCTTATTTTTAGTAATTTAATATTTTGAGTTTTGTTTACGAAATTATTTATGATATTTTTAAAAATTTTTAACAATGTAAAAAAAAGTAAAAAAAAAAAAAAATCTCTCCATTTTATTAATTCAAAAGAAAAGTAAAAATTTTATTTCATTTATCCTCACTTAATTATTTTTCAAACTATATTATTCATTTTAGTTTTCTAAAATTATAAAGTAAATGTAATTTTTGTTATTTATAATTTTAACAAGTTTTTAAGATGAAAAATATAATAGACATTGAAATTATATTTTTAAAATTTTAGAATTTTAACAAATACCAAGTTTTAAGATAAAAAAATATAATGAATGTTAAACTATATTTTCAAAATTCTGAAATTTTAACAAATATCACTTTTAAGATAAAAAAATGTGATAGATATTGAGATTTTATTTAAAATTTTAGAATTTAAACAAAAATTATGTTTTTAAGATAAGAAACATAACAAATGTTGAAACTATATTTTTTAAATTATAAAATTTTAACAAATATCATTTTTAAGATAAGAAATGTAGTAGATGTTGAAATTATATTTTTGAAATTTGAAATTTTAACATTAATAAGGACCATCCTTTTAAGTTAAGAAACATAGTGGATGTTGAAACTTTATTTCTAAAATTCTAAAATTTTAATCAAAAATCATATTTTTAATATAAGAAATATAATGGATGTTGAAATAATATTTTTGAAATTCTAAAATTTTAATAAAGATCACATTTTTAAAATAAAAATGTAGTGAATATTGAAACTTTATTTTCAAAATTTTAGAATTTTAACAAAAATCTATTTTTAAAGATAAAATTGTAATGGATGTTGAAATTTTATTTTTGAAATTTTAAAATTTTAACAAAGACCGCATTTTTAAAATAAAAAATGTAATTAATATTAAAACTTTATTTTTGAAAATTTGAAATTTTAATAAAGATTGCTTTTTAATATAAAAAGACACGGTGAATGTTGCTAATCATAACAAAATTAAAATAAAACATAAAATATTTTTTATTTAATATTATTATATATAAATTTTAAAATATATTTACTAATATTATTATTTATAAAATTTATTTTGGAGACATTGTCCCTTGAAACCCCTAAGAGAGAGTTTACCCCCATTTTTAACCCTTATGTCGACTTTACCAAGAAAGTCGACCCATGTATTTCTTTTACCTAGGGATTATCAACATAAGGTAGTGATTACGATTGTAAAATTATCTTTGTTGAAAGTATGAAAAATATATATTTTTTCAAATTTTTTTAATTTTAATAAACATAATGTGTTTTGAATGTCATGTGTTATGTATGTGTCATTAAAAACACTATAGTAAATATCTTTATTAGATAATTTTATATTTTTCTAAATCAAATATAAAAATTTTATATTTTTAAATCAACAAAATTTTAAAATCATGCATTCTCCTCTAATATCATTTTCTCTCAAAATTACTTTCCTTCTAAAAAAATAAAAATTTGTGAATCAAACGCCCTATCAAAGACTTTACCTATCTTTTCTTATGTTTGCATTGTTCCCTTTCCTTCTTTTTTTTTTCTAATTTTTGAAGCATTGATTTGATGATGAAATGGATAAAGGTCTTTGAGCAAAAAAGGGCATTTGCTTTGGAATAAAAAAAGATATGATAATGTTGCCCAATCAGTTTTGAACACATCCAAGTATCTAACACTTGGGAGGCTTTATCTCAACTCCCTTTTAACTTGCCTTGTTTCTTCCTTCTCTAATGTCTCTTAAACTATTAAATCTCCTTTCAAACGAAAAAAAAAAACTATATATTCTCTTACTTAAAATATTACTGTCTGAAATCTATTATATGGAACTACTTTTTACTTACTGAAAAATTCAAATCTCAAAGCCAAAAGCTCTCCTACTTCTAAAGCCTTATAACAAGGCCTGCACGAACATCAATTCCCTTTTTCCTAAACCAAACCCAGACCACTTCAAGATTACTATTGCATTGCAGATACAAAATCCCTTTTATTTCTTAATGCTGCACCTTCCTGTCCCAACCAACTCTATCTCTTTCCTCTTATCTCTTTTCTCTTAATCCATTTGGATTCAATGTCATGCTCACCACTCTTGTTAATTTGTCAAGAATTAGCACCATCGGCCTAACCATGGCCCGTGTTGACATAACCGCTAACGGGTTTGATCCACCCCACTCCCACCCAACGGCCTTGGAACTTACAATATGCCTTTTCAAGGTGTTTTTCTTACAGACTTTGTTGATACCTCTAGTTACTTATTACTTTTTTAAAAAAATAAAAACTAAGATTTATTTTTTTAGTTTTTTCTATCTTACACATTTATATAATTTTTTTATAAATATATATTAATATATATTTTTAAAATAAAATATATTAATTTTAATTAATCAAAATAATAATTTATATTTTTTAATAAAAAATTTATTTACTAAATATATATATGTAGGGTAAGGTATAGGGCGAATGTTATATTACCTATTTCTATTTTCATATCCGATAAAAAATATAAAATCATATCCATTTCTATTCCTATCACCATAATATAATACTTATTCATATTCTCATTCAAATAAAAAATCGAGATTAATTTTGTTTTAAGTAAAAAGGATATTTCATATATTATGTAACTATCATCATGTAAACTCCTTAAAGATTCTTTTAATATAAGATAGTATAGAGATTTCTTTCACCTCTAAGTTTCAGATGGAATATATATAGATATATATATATTTGTGAGATTAAGTTACTTTAATCTAAAATTTATTAATTTTATATCATTTGACAAATTTATCTTTATGACATCGGAGTGTTTGTACATCATACAACTTAGACTGAGACTAAGAAAAACTTATCTAAAAATAAGATAAGTCTATCCTTGGTCTAAATCCACTAAATAAATACAAAAATAAGATGGGTTGAAATAGAAAGATTGTGTTCACACTAGCTAAAAAAAAGAGCATGAAAATGGATGGGATTGTGGTCAAATTCATTATTATGTAATCTACATGAGTAAATGAGTTCACATGTAAATCTCTTGATTTTAGGCACGATTCTAGTAATACAAGCTGAAAGTTTTCATGCTTGGAAGGATGTTCCTAGCCTATATATTTTCTATTATTCCTTAGTAAAAAGCAGAATAGAGTTTTCTTTATCCCTAAGCAATCTTTTAGATTGTTCTTCAAGTTCTATCTCTTAGATGGATTTTCTAAAGTGGTGAACCTCTATTATTCTATATCCTCGATTAAAATTTTTAGGGTAGTGTTTTCGTATCCCTTAGTTTCTAGTCTTAGTAGTGAGCTTTTATCCCTTTTAATCTAATAATCATATTATATCATTATTTAAATTCTTATGAGTTATCTTCTTTATGAGTTTTTCTATTTACAGTTAATCTCTACATCTCAAACATCAATTTTTGATATTAAATTAATATCAAAGCTATGGCAGGTCATCGTTGTCAAGCACCAGCAGAAGAGGTTAAAGCTAACACCAATGTTGCAACAATTACCAATGTTGACCTAAAAGATGCCCTTATAGTGAAAATGCGATAATAGATCTTTCAACTATAATATCAGTACATATATAAGAAGAGAGAGAGAAAATAAAAAGGTAACGAAGAAAGAATGAAGAAGATAAAGAGAAACCAATCTATACCATGAAAATAATAGTGATTTTAATTATAGTACCTTATCTCATCCATGATATGTCAGAGACTATCTACGTAGAAACTAACTTCAATCTAGCATATTCAATCCGAAGATAGAAGATTTTTGAGTTCAAGGGAAAGATACAACTTGAAAATTTTTAAATTGGTTACATATAGTGGAACGTATATTTGAATACCATGATGCCTCAAAACATCACAAAGTGAAGCTAGTAGCCATTAAACTCAGAAAACATGCTTCTTTTTGGTAAAAAATTTTGAAAAAAAACAAAGAAAAAAAATTATAACTTAGGAGAAGATGAAAAGAGAGTTAAAGAAAAAATATTTTTCAGACAACTTTTGACAAGACATATTTCTTAGGCTCCATAACTTGAAGCAAATGGATCTTTCGGTGAAAGAATATATTAAAAAGGAAAACCATATCCAAGGCCAGTATTTTTACCAAACCTCTTCAAATCTATTACTAAAGAATAAAGAAGCCATTCCCAATAAATCACAATCTAGTGCTGTCAACAATTAAACCCAAAGAGACTTCAAGAGCTAATGAGTTGGGGGTATACATTATGAGTGTCCAAATCTCAAGATAGTTACATTGGTTGAAGATGAAAATCTTGAGATGCTGAAAAAAAACTTATTGAGGTACATCAAGATCTTGAACAAAGTGTTAAAGAGACCTATGGTGATCTTGAATCCTTACTTATTATACAATACAGCGTGAGTGCTATGCATGTAAAGAAAAAAGACTGGTTGCACAAGAATAAATTCCACACTAAAAGCATTGCTCATGATAAGGTATGTGATGTTCTAATTGATAGTGAAAATTTTAAAAATGTTGTTTTCACTTTTTTGGTACAAAAATTAGGCCTTAAAATAGTGGATTACCCCTAATCATATAAGTTTTTTTGGCTGTAAAAAAAGAATAAAATCAAGGTTAACAAGAGGTATTTGGTTTTTTTTTTCATAAGAAAGCAATACAAGGATGAAGTATAGTATGGTGTAGCCCCCATATATGCTTGTCTCAATGAAAAAGAGAAAATCAATTACTTTTTTTAAGGAGAAGTTCAATGTTTCCCGACAGAAATACTCAATTTATGACAAGAAGTTCTATGCTATTTATAAAGCTTTTGTTCCTTTAGAGTCAATATCCTCTTGCCAAGTCATTTGTTCTTAATTACAATCCTTGTCATCATTCTCAAACCTATGAGGAAATTGAAGTTATTAATCATAGCTTGGAAAATTTTCTTGAAAAGTTATGCAGAAAAAAAACTAAAACAATGAACACTTATTTTACTATAAATGGAGTTTGCCTACAACTATTCACCAAGTCAAACTGTTGGTTGCAGCCCTTTTGAAATTATTCTTAGTAAGAATACAATCTATCCTTTAGTTTAAATCAACGTTATACTAATCAGCATTTTGATGAAGATACAGAAGAAAGAGCCAAGAGTATCAAAATATTTCATGAACAGGTTTAGAATAAAATACTGTAAAAAAATAAAAAATATAAAAAGATAATAATTATGCATCGAAGACATGTGAAGTTCAAAAAACATGATTTAGTGTGGGATTACTTGCATATAAAAAGGTTTTCACAAGAGAAGTTTGGTAAGCTACAGTCTAATGCAGACAGCCAATTTTAAGTTTCATAATGCATTGGGGAGAATGGCTATAAGATAAAGTTTTATGACACTTATAGAGTATCTTTCACTTTCAATGTTGCTGATTTGTCACCCTACCATGGTGAGAATACTAGTTCAGACTTGAGAATAAGTCTCTTCCAACTAGAAAAAATTGACATCAGAGTATCTGTACTTTATACAACCTGGACTAAGACTAAGAAAAATTTATCTAAAAATAAGATAGGCCTATCATCGATCCAAATCTACTAAATAAATATAGAAATAAAGTGAGCTATAATAGAGAGATTGTGTTCACACTAGCTAAAAAAAAAAGTATGAAGATGGATGGGATTGTGGTTAGATTCATTATTATGTAATCTGTAGGAGTAAATGAATTCACATGCTAATCTCTTGATTTTAGGCATGATTCTAGCAATGCAATCTAAATGTTCTCATGCTTAGGAGGAATGTTTCTAGCCTATATATTTTTCTATTATTCTTTAGTAGAAGTAAGAATAGAGTTTTCTTTATCCTTAAGCAATCTTTTATATTGTTCTTTAAGTTTTGTATCTTTAGGTTGATTTCTTAGAGTGGTGAACTTCTATTGTTCTGTATCTTTGATTAGAATTCTTAAGGTGGTGTTTCTGTATCCTTAGTTTTTAGTCTTGGTAGTAAACTTTTATCTCTTTTCATCTAATAATCATATTCTACCATTATTCAAATTCTTGTAAGTTATCTTTTTTGTGAGTTTTTCTATTTGTAGTTAATCTTCACATCTCAAATATTAATTTTCGGCATCACTTTAGATTTAACAATACAATCTTTTTCGTTGTACACATAAAATTTTAAATCAATCCAATATTTTTATAAATCATATAAGAAATATATTTATAATTTAGGTAAATAAAATATGAAATGCAACAGTAATCAAATCACACATATATAAATCATATAAAAAATTACCAACGAAGTAAGTAGATCATCTTCTTTATATATCTATAAACATATTAAAGCTATTCCCAAATGTGATAGTCCTCAATTTATAAGACACCTAAGATAAGACATAAAAAATATTAAAAGGTTAATTAAGGCTTGAATAAATTAGTTGGGGCAATTTGGAGAAAGAACTTTGGGGCTTTTTTTTTTTTTTTGGACACATAGCAATCAATTTTATCTTTGTATTTTATTTTGGTATTTTAATTTTTGTTTTTAATATTATCTTGGTTTTATTTATTTTTTATTTATTGATTTTCTTATTTATTTGTTTATTTTTTGTTTACATACATATTTAAATTTTTATATTAGGAATATATTTTAACATTTAACAGCATAAAAAAACTAAAATAAGTATTAGACAAAAAAATTTGTAAATTTTTATAATTATATTTATTTATTTGTATCATATAAATTTAAAAAATAGAAATAAATGAAAATTTTTCCATGATGAAATTTAAAAAAAAAATTATAAGTGGCACTTGAAATTCCTAAGTGATAACTTTTCTTAGAATCTGACCAAATGTGTTTGAAAGATTTTGGAAGTATTTCAATAAAAATATTTTATCTATTTTTAATAAAATATTTAGTAAAAAATAAAGATTGATGAAAAAAATAAAAAAAATTATAAAATTTTAAATTAATTCGATGATAAGGTATTTTTAAAAAATGAATGAGTTTTTTTTTTAAACTATTCTTGAATTAAAGAAATTTTCTCAAAATTCTATCAAAATATTGGAGTAAATATAAAAATTTTTAATATTTTAAATAATAAAATTTAATTAAAAATAAAATTTTACATAAAATCCTTTTAAGATAATACAAAATTAATTAATACTACTAATAACTTATCCACACATAGATTAACTAATAATATATAATAAAAATTATTTATAAATGGGGATAACTTTCAATTGAATGACAACTCAAACTACTTTCAATTTGTTAAATGGCTAATGGTTAAGTTATTGGATTTGACAAATCATAATGTGTTAGGTTTTAATTAGATTAAGATATGGTGAGTTGGGTTTTAATTGGATTTGGAAAAACGAATATGATGTTTGTATGATGTTAGATTGTAATTTGATGTATTTTTATAAGTTCTGAATTTTTATTATTTATTATCTATAATAAATAAAATAATAAAAATATAATAATAATAATAAATATAAATATAAAATGATAAAAGAATGAAATAAAAATAAAATTTCTTCTCTTTTTTCTTTGTTCTAAATATTTTTATAAAAAGTTTATAATTTAAAAAGATTAAAAAATTAGATCCAATAATTAATAAAAAAATTCAACATTCACAATATAATATAAAAAAATAACCCAAAAAAAATCATAAAGTATTATATATTTTTAATTTCATTTTTATTATTTTATTATTTTTATATTAAAATAATTAGTCTGATGGGAGACTAATTCTGGTATTATAAAAATTACATATTAGCCATCTGCTTTTGCACAAAATCCCTAGTCTCGTCGATGAACCAAGAAGACTCCGGCAGCTCAGGATAAGCATAAAAACTATGAATGGCATTCGGATACTCTACCAAATACGCTTCTTTCCCACATTTCTTCAGTCCCTCAACATATCTCTTTTGCCAATCTTGCAACGGATCAAACCCTCCAACAAAAACAATCGTCGCCGGAAACTTCATGTCGCCAAGATCTACTGCATTAGGCCCGAACACATTAGCCGCCGGATGGTCCCTGTCTGATCCTTGAGGCAAAAACGCCTTCCATGTCCAGTCTGTAAGCTCCATTGTAACCAAGGGAGCTCCGTCCAACTTGATTTCCGATTCAGTCCTTTCTTCTCCACCAAAAAATGGTTGTATAGCTATAACTCCAATCAGCTTCAAGTTGTGAAATTTGTGCTCGTTAGCTTTCACAGCTGCGTGATGAGCCAAGTTCCCCCCTGCGCTGTCTCCACCAACAAAGCAGTGTTTCAGGTTGGCATTAATTGGAATAAGACCTTCCCACTCGTCGATGAACTTCAAAACTTTGAGGCCGTCTTCATATTGGGACGGGCATCTATGCTCCGGTGAGAGTCGGTAGTTGACGGATATGATAATTGCCGAAAGCTCTCGAGCTAGTCGTCGACAGAAATCGTCGTAAGGCTTGGAATTGGCAGCCATAAAAGAAAAACCCCCACCATGGAAAAAGACTATGACTGGAAAAGTACCTCCATGACTGCTGGTAGGTGTGTAGAGGCGGAACCAAAGGTTGCAGGTAGTGTCGACAACGATATCAGAGGATTTAACGCCGTCGACTGGTTTTTGGGAAGCAGAGGATTTGAAGTCGAAAAGGTTCATAAGGGTCCGATTGACTGTGAAATTGGAGCGGCGAGAGAGATCGACGGCAAAGGACATGGTGGAAACGAAAAGCCTGACCTTCCATGGAAGCTTTGGTGAGACTCTACATCTATGAGACATCATCTCTTTCATTGCCTAACCTCTAATGCCCGACTCTTTTCATTTTTTTTTTCTTTTTTGATGAATCTATTGCCCGTTTATGAATGAGAGTAAGGTTGACGGTCTGTTTCAAACATTAATAAAATATATATATCTAAAACATACTTGTTAACAACTTAAATAGACTTGGTCTAGGCTTCTTGTAGGTAGCAATCAAACCAACCATTAAGAACAGCAAGTGGGTCCACAAAAAATAGAAAAATATAGGAGTAGTTTATTTATGCATTGTAAAATTAGTTGTATTCCTATTAATAATTTTAAAATTTGTTGTTACTCGTTAGGCATATGTAAAGTTTTTGGACTCTTGGATTACATTATAGAATTCATCCATTGTATCTTAAGGTTTAATTTCGATACTTTTTAAATTAAATTGTCAAGTTTCAATTGTTGAGGTTTCGTAAAAAATAATTTGACACAGATTGATTTTTTTTATGTAAGGGACAGATTCATAGAATTGCTAAAACGAAGTCATCCTTGAAATATATGTAGAGCTGTAAATATCTCATTTTATTAGGGGCGATTTGAAATTTCATTTGAGGATTTTTGCCGTGATTGTATTTTTAATATAAATATCTCATTTTATTAGGGGCGATTTGAAATTTCATTTGAGACTTGAAGGATTTATTTTTGCCCCGTTGATTTGTAACTGTGTGTATCTATCTATCTATTCAAATCGCCCCCTAATAAAATGAGATATTACAGCTCTACATATATTTCAAGGATGACTTCACCTATCTATCTATCTATCTATCTATATATATAAATATGTTTTAAAAACTTTAGCTGGGCTTGGGTTCAAAGTTAGCCCATTTAAGTTTGGGATGCTATTAGGCTTTAACTCATATTTGTTTTGGGCTCTAATTGATCTATTTTTTTATTTGGGTTTAAAAGGCAAACCAAGAGCCCATTTTTGTTTTTATGTAGTATTGTATAATCTTATTTCTTTTCTTTTCTTTTTACTGATCTTTTGTTAAATATTTTTATTTTGCAAAAAGTAAGAAAATTTTAAAAAAGCAGAAAAAAATTGAAAAGAAGGAAAGGATAAAAATATTTTTTTTTTGGGAGGAATATGACAAAAAAGATTTAGATTAAAATCCGTTTGAGAAAATTTTGGAATTGAATCCCTCAAATGATAAAAACTCAAAAAATCATACAAAGCAATTGGAACACAATCCGTTTTGAACTTCTATTACAATTAAATCTGACAATTTTAAATATAACACGGTGATATGATGTGAAAATTATATGAAAAAAATTTTATATGTGTTTTAAAAAAATGTGTTTCGTATTTATTCATGTCGATATAAATTTTGATATAACATAATTCGTATCTTATACGTGTTAATATATTTAAACATATGTAAGACATAAAAACATGTTTAAATAAAATGTGTTACATGGATACACACTTAACACATGACACAACACAAAAATACGTTTAATATAATTTTATATTTATTTTAATTTAATATAAACATATAAAGATTATTTAATTTTTAATTTTTTAATTATAATACCTAATTAGCTATCAACATACCATATAGAGATTATTTTAAACATTTAATTATAAGACTCATTTAATAATTATTATAAAATTATTTTTATATTAATAATATATATTCAATATGAATAATACTAGTATGATACATAATTATATTATTCTTTAATGTTTAATAATTTATTATTTTGAATTTGGTACTAATAATATAGTTATGTATACATTTATGATTGTTATATTAGTAATATATATATATATATATTGAGATTTAAATATATATGCTAAATGAATATTAAATAGGAATCAATTTTTTATAATTTTAAAATATGCAATTACTTTTATATTAGTAATGTATATATTACATATATATAAATTTTAACATATTAAATATATATCATTCTTTGTAACTTTTTATAACAAGATAAATAGTTTTTTATTAAAAAATAATTTAGAATGACAATATACACTTAATTGTTAATAACAAGTAATGTCTAACAATATGGTTATTGATCATGCAAAACAAATACAAATCACATGAATATTCACTAATATATTATAATGATAATAAATAACATTTATAATGATAATAAATTATATGATCATCTTAATAACATGAATTATGAATTATGATTATTTTAAATTATAAGAATTAAAATAAGAGCTTATACATTTGAAATAAAAAATAATACATATTTTAAATAATATATATAATGATAAAAAATTATATAATTTATTATATATTACATGATACGATATTATTAAAATGTAACTTATAAATTATTACTATATGATGAGAGATTTTGTATTTGAAATTAAACATTACTATTTATTTTAACTAACATTTATAATGATAAGAGATTATATAATTTATATTTATATATCATATGATAAGGTATTATTATAATATAATGTATATACTTATCTTAATGACTTGTTTTATATATTTTATTCTAAAATTTAAATTACATTATATGATACCAATAAATTATAAAAGATTATATAATTTATTTTAAATCATATGTAAATGAGTATACTCATGATAATTAAAATATGTAGGTTATTTTAATCATATTATAACATATAAAAAATTATTATAAGTAACATAAATATATTAATTGACTTTAAAATATATATTAATTTAATATTTTTCAATAATTTTGATAAGTTATTAGGACATTTTACAAATAAATTATGCCAATTAAGTAATTATTGAAAATATATAATAATATTTATATATTAAGAAATAAATAATTCTAGTATCAATATATTAATATTATGTCTAGGATAAAAAAGCAAAAAATAGGAAAAATAGCTTTTGGAATAAACTTTTTATCATATATACATATATATAATCATTATATATTCATTATTTCAAATTCTTATATTTATTTATTTATATATATTATTTGTTATTTACACTATATAAATCAATAAATGTGTAATAAGGTATAAGTATTTAGTGTCTTCATGAATTTAGATTATATTTAATACACAAGATTATGATAAAATATGATAAAATGATATTATGAATATGATTAGATTGAATAATATCATCTTATTTTGTGTTTGATGTATGTAAGGATTATGATAGAATAATTTATTTATTTATTAAAATTATCTTTTCTCAAAGTGTATACAATTTAAATTATTTATATAATTTTTAAAGATATAATTGAATATGTAAATTTAATCTCATTAATTAAAATAATCATATTTATTTGAAGAGAATTGAGTAATCCTATGCTAATAGGATTTAATTCTTTTTGCAATCCTTATCCTTCTTTTTAGATACAAATCAATCATATTATAGATGATTACCTTCCTATCTTATCAGTAATTTTATTTATTAAATATGACATTAGCACTTACTCTTACTTAGTTAATGCCTAATTGAAACTTGTAAATGATTATGGATAATTGATAATTAATTATTTTTTTAATCATGTTTTCATATATGTCATTTTTAATTATATTTATTCGTGTATATCAATATTTATTCATATCATATTTAAATAAATTAATTGTATACGTGTTAGTTGTATCGTATCACATATAATACATATAATAAATATGTTGTAATTATATTTAAAATTTAAATATATTTTATAATTCATATCATATTTATATTTTAATAATTTATGTTATTGTATATATTAAAAACGAATTATCATATCTATCTCTGACTGCCTCTTCACCGAACAACTTAGGCTGGATGACTCCGTTTTTCCAAGAGGCCTAATCTATTATCTCTACAATTTAGACTCAAGGAACCCCGCCTTGGCTGTATATGGGCAACGCAGCCGAAACCAATGTGCACAAATTGCTTCCAGGGCCGCGTTCGTATCAAATCTATCAATTGCTGATGACGAAATTTTGGAAAAAACATTTCTTTTTTTAAGAATTCAAGGTCTTTAGATTTTGTTCAATATAATTTTTTTAATCACTGCAAGCAGGTTTACAGTCTATAAAATTCATAAAAAAAATTTTCCCATATCTTTTTAACAGATTCAAACCCATGTAATAAAAAAAAAAAAAACTTCTTTTTGCACTTAACCATTTGTCGTGCAAAAGGTTTCCAAATTAGCAGCAAGGATGTTGCCAAGATAAGCAAGACCCTTGGTAGGTGATTTATCTGATTATGTTTTGTTTTTTTTTTTTAAAGTGGGATCGTTACAGGTTATTATTTATCATTTATTCTTGCCTTTGAACATGATATAGGAAAAATGGTAGTTCAAGTCTTCCTTCACATGAAATAGACCTACCAACGGTCATATAGTTGTGTATGCAGATTGTTTAAAAAAAAAAAAACCCATAATCAAGCAGGTTTTATTATTTATTTATTTATTAGGTTTGCTTATGAAAGGAATTTAACAAGGAGTGGTATTTGAATTGAACTGAATTAAGTGAAGAAAAACAAATTTAATAGAGCAAATCTTTATTGTTTGCCGCCCAGATCAAGATGGAAAGATTTGGGTACTTTGCCATTTACCAGTTATCATTCCTTGTTGATCGGTATTATAAAATTTTCAAAAGAAGCAACTGTTGTGTTGAAATCTGGTAAAACTCAATCATGATATCCAGATCTAATTCCCTGGATTGTCTCAACTTTTTAAATAATTTATTTTATTCTCTTACCCTTTTTGATTTCCATGTGAAAATGGAGTGTGAACTGTAGGGCATGCGACAATACGGCAATTGACAAATGGAAATTAATCAATGAACATAATCACAAGCATGTTAGGCTCATTGGGAAATGTTTCTATCAACGCCAAAGGCCAAAGCATTTCCAAAGTCGAAATTTCTCAAGGATCCCAATTGTCATAGGTTGAATGTGATGGTGGCTGAAATGAACGAGTGGAGAAACTCGTTTGGCACTCTTCTCAACAGCTTCTCTTAGACCTTGAATCGTTGACATGGCAACTTAAAGTACTAGAACTTAAAGTACTAGAAAACAGACTTTAAAACAAAATCATCCACATGTAAATTTCTTGGAAAAAAAAAAAGTAGCAGCAGAAAAGAAATACTAGCTTTGATTGGGTCAGAGGGGTTGTTCCAGAAGAGTGCGCGTTTGAGCTCTTTTGGACCCCAACAAGGTCCCGTGGACAGCTGATATAGAGACATTTCACAAAAGCATGAAAATTTTGATTTGTTTTTGGATCTTCTCAGCTTTGCCTTATTATCTTGGCTTAGAATCATTGTTAAATACATGAAATGATGAAACGAAACCAATCATAGTTTGATACGTGGCAACCATAATTCAATATTTTTAAAGGTCAGAAAAAGCAGAAAAGTAAAGCACCATACATCAATCCAGATTCAGATACCTACAATGAAAATTTAAGGGAAAAAAGGTGCAAGTAGAGAAAGAGGAGAAAATGGGAAATGGAAGATGAATTAAAGAAACAATGAACAACTAAGAATGTTATTCCTCTCTCAACAATATTCTTCAATTACATACAAAGAAATCAACCCACCAAAATTGTTCCAAAATATGGAACCCCCCCTCTGATGAAAGGAATTGAAACCTCCATATGTAAATCACAAAACTTAATTCCAAGAAATAACCCCAAAAAAAAAAAAATCTGTACACACCTGAGCTCTATAAAGAATCATCATTTCTGTGACAATGTGAAAGAAAGAAGAAAAAAAAAAAGAATCATAACAAATAGCTGGAAAACCCCAGGAATATTGAAGAAGAAAAAGAAGAAGAAGAAGACTGATGTTTGACTAAACTGCCCTTGTAAAGATCGTACGGTTCCCAAAGATAATCAATCGGACAAGGCTTTCTGGCATCGAGTCGAACCCAGGGCTTCCCTTTCCCACTCCAATGCAACAAACTAACAGGACCAGGATGCAAAGATCGACAAGAACCTCTTACATTGTCCCCACCAAGCCCGTGTTGGTTCCATCTATGATCAATCGCTTCCACATTTCCGGCAAATACGAGTAAAAAAGGTGGCAACGAACCTAACTCGTAAATCCTTCGTTTCCTCTGTATTTCCATCCAATTCTCAATTCTTCTCCTATAATTCCCTTCTCTCCAACGACCCAAATCCATTACCATGACTCCCGTGTTGAAATAACACGGCGTTCTAGACTGGAAGACCCGGGAAATAACCGGGTCGGACCAAAACCAGTCCGTAAAATACTTGGTGAAGTTGGCATGGCAATATTCGGGTGCGCCAATGACACGTGATTTTGTCAGGGTTGTGTTCCAGAGTTTGGAAATGTCGTCGACGACGACCAGGTCTGAGTCGAGATAAATGACTCGGTCAACGCAGAGATCTAAGATGTCTCCGAGGTAGTTTCGAGCGTAGTTGAGTGGATTCTCCAGGGCTTGCCGGATTGAAGAAGAGATTAAGTTGATTACGGTGTCCTCCCGGAAGATGTAGATTTTGAAGTTGAGTGAAGGGAACGTGGATCGGACGAGTTTGCTCAAGACTCTTGGACTGGCCGGGTCGAACTCGGCGGCTATGAAGTGTAAGAAGATGTTTTCTGGACATGACGCGTGGCGGAGGACGGAGTGGACGGCAGCGATCGAGCCACGCAAGTATTCGGAGTCTAAAGTCATCGCCACGTGGACTAAAGACGGGTCGCAGGAGGACACCAGTTCTTTATTGACAGAAACCGGACATCCAACTCCGTTACGGTAATCCGGTGCCTCCGAAAACCCGAATCCCGACCCATCTCCTCCACCGATGGTCCGAATCCCAAGACAAAACGTCGCCGTAAGGAAGAAATGAAGAAGTAAAACGGCGGTGGCATGAAAAATGGAACGCATTATTGTGAAAAAAGAAAGAACAAAACAAGAGAGACTTTTTTGTTTTTAATTTTCAGGAGAGTTGTTTGACAAAGAAATTTAGATGATTGGCATTGTGATGGAAGGGAAATGGAAGCGGAAGAGAAAAGAAAATGATGGTTGTAAAGATTAAGGAGAGAGCTTTCAAGACTAGGGAGAAAAAATCAACACCGTTTTGGCTAGTTCTTGGGCTTCATTCGAAGCGAAACGGTGCTTATTGATCATGAAAAGAAAAAAAAAAAAGAAACAATTACCAAAATGAGTATTTGGGAATTTGGAGGAGAATTTTTTGCTGGCTCTTTACTGCATTTTTTTTTCTTCCCTTGAGTTTTGGTTTGTTGAAAACAACAGAGAGATGAGGGGTCTGGTTTTCTTTTATTAAATGATAATAAGAGAACCACCTAATCGAGGTAAGGAATGAGATGAAAGATTTGTTTTTATTTTTTAAATATTGTTATGTACTGAGAATATTATAATTTGGAGCAAATATATAGATTTTGATTTTAAAATTAAAATTTGTTGGTTGGACTATGATCTTTTGTCAATTATAACGATTTGAATTTTAATCAAATTCAACAGTTTTAAAAATTCAAAATACAATTCTTGCACTGGGAATTTAACAAATTGAACCTGCTTTGATTAAAAACAAGAAAAATTTGTATCATGAAAATGTACTAAATTCGAATGATTAGTCATCTTATTTAAAAATATTATAAATTCTATATTATAAGCAATATATATATATATATTTCACATATTGTAATTTATATCGTTTACATAAAAGATTAAATAAAGAAAAAAAAAACAAAGTTGAATAAAGAAATATCGTCAAACTAATAATTTCTTTTGTAAAAATAGGATAATAGTTCCATAATTTTTATAAACAATTAAAAGCTCAGCTCGATGCCATGTATCAAGTAAAAGATAACAAAAGTACAAATAAATTTTTTTTTTTAATGAAAAGCACAATTAAATTTTGAATGCAAAACGTAGCAACTAATTTTTTAATTAATATAGTTTCTTTCATAAGTTTTCTTGTAATAATTATTATCAACGTATAACTGATTGATTGCAAAGGTAAATTCATAATTTCAAGATTTAAACATAATGTTTGGACAAAAAAATTAAAAACATTTATATATCTAATGAGTAATAAGTTTTGGACTGAAAAGTTGACGAATTATAGAGTTTATGATACTAATTTATACAAAATTTTGGTAAGGAAGGGTCATACTATAAAGTTTTTAAGTTTAATTGACAAATTTTGGGTATTAAAAAACAAAAAGGTTAAGGGCAAAACTTAGGTAAATTTTTTTAAATTAAGTTTCAAATATTTTTATTAAAATGATTAAATTAAATCTAAATTTAAAAATTTAAATTGATAAATTAAAAATAAATAAAATTTTAAAATTTATATTTAATATATTATTAGTGTATAAATTTTATATTACTGGAGAATCGGATGATCTTACCTCATTGATAAGGTTAATCAAATGATGCTACTTTATAAATAAGTAAACTTTTTAAAAAATATTAATTTTTTATATATTTATTTATTAATGAAATTGTATAATTTGATTCACTAATAGTGTGTAAAACTATACATTAATAATATATCAAATATAAATTAAAAAATTTCTATTATTTGAAAATTTTTAATATTTTATTTGAATATGCATATTTGTTAAAAAAATTAACAAAATTTTCAGTGTTTAATAAAAATTTAATAAACAATTATGAAAATTTGTGCATAAATACTATTTTCAGTTAACTTACATATATATATATATATTGGTCTTCTTAATCAATTTTATCAATCTATCAACTTTAATTTCTATATTTAATTAATTTTAACAAAGGCCTTAACCAAATAACGTCATTTAAACCTTCTATCGAGACCTTGCCTGGATTAATTTGTCTTTATCTGTAGCATTTTTAACATATTTTTTAATGAATACTTTATACTTTTTTGCTTTAGAGGTAAGTTCTGTTTTATCTACCCAAATTATTGGTATTTATAAATTCTTTTGAAAGTGGGGAATTCTGGGTTGGTTTAATGTATTAATGTAGATTGAACAACAAATGAAGGTCTAAAGCTTGCATTTAATTCTAAAAGGAATCCTTAAAATGGAAGATTGAAAGGAACATTTTTTTTTTCTTTTTACAAATGATGTCGAAATTCAAGAATAAAAAAAAAAAAAAAAAAAGAAATTCTACAACTTCAATAAGGTCAATGAGGTGAGTCAAAGGAAATCTTTGCCTAAGGCTTATCTAGTCTTAGATGAAAAGGACACCCTATCCTATACATCTTTCATCTACAAGAATGCTACATTTAAAGTTGAAATTTACTTCTTCTAATTGATCATTGAAAAATAAAAAAAATATCAAGATTAGGAAAAGGTTTTTGATTTTATCATTTTATAGGACTTTCTGAAAGATTTTATAGCCTGTGGAAGGTTTTAATTAAAATGAGGAAAAAAGAAGCTGAGTGTGTAAATTTTTTGGAAAAATAAACAAAAGTGTACCGTGTTGTAAACTTTTGTTTTTTGGTTAACAAAATTACACTGGTAAAAAAATGAATTCTCAAAAAATGACCTAATAAAAGAAAACGTAAAAATTTTTCAGAAATTTTGGAGTTACAAGTCAAATCTTGAAACCCATTTGCCAGTTAACATGATGCAACCAAAAGAGAGATGATGGTTGAAGGAGAAGTTGTGGCAATCTACTTCTTCAGTTTCCCTTCCCAAGTTTTTTTTTTTTTTTTTTTAAATAGTATTGTTCGTTGGGGTGGCCAGCTGGGCATGCAGCCGCGGCCTCCCCACTAATACCTTGACAGCTATGAATACAACCCATCCAGCTGGTTGATCATTGCTTCTAACTTCTGATGTTGACGCATGCAAGCCTCAGTTATTCGGCTCGTCTTCCTCCTGAGTCTCCTCCACGTGATCACGTGCTCTCTCTCTCTCTCTCTCTCTCTCTCTCTCTCCTTCGCCTATTATGCTTGCCCTTTCTTTTTATTTATTTATTTATTTATTTTTACATATTCCGTATTGTATTCTTTGAGTAAGTCAAAACAACGTTCACAATCTGAATAGTCTTTTTTTCTTGACTGACTTAACCCAATTAAGAAAACTTGTTCTCTCACTCATTCCTACACCTCTGCATATACACCTTGGAAGGTTTTGCTTTTCACTTTGTTGATGCAACTTTTTGTTTGGTGGGGAAGAAATCAGTCGGAGGTTGAGTTGGTGAATGTGACATATCTGTTACAAATAAAAACAAAAATCAAGTGTTTAAAGTAATAATTTTAATATGCTCTGATACTTAAGATCAGTTAAATGTAGGAATAAAAAGAAGAAAGCTAAAGGGAAAGAAGAGCAAAAGAGAATAGAAATGTTATATGTATGGTTTAATTCTCCTTTTCATACCTCATAAACAATGACTTGATTAGTTAAATATGTGACTATTTGTTTTGACATCAAATGCGTATGCTGATTACATGAAAGCCAAGATACTGATGATGTGATCACTAATCTATATCACACTTCAAAAAAATGTCTATTACTTTACGATTTGCAAATAACTTAAGCAATTACATCATAACTCTAATTAATTTAGGCTGCATTTGAATTTAACTAGAGTTGCTTTTACTGCAAAAAAATTATGTCCATTGCACTGTACAATACAAAAATAGGCATTTGAGTTACATGGGTAGTATGACAGAAACCGTGAAGATCACCGTGTTGCACCTCTAAAATTTGAGTGTTGTCTTAAGTTTCAATGAAAAACTCGTCTCCACCAAACTCTATCTTTTCAAATAAGTCCCTTTTTTTTTTATTTTAAATTATGAGATTCTAATATAGCATTGAAAATCTAGTTAGCCTATTCTTGTACATTTCTTTTTTGTTATTTCTTTCATTTTGATTTTTTATTTAATTTTTTTTTATTTTAAATTTTTTTCCATTTCTTGCGACTTGCATTCTTTTTTATTTTTTAAAAACTTTTATTTTGAATAAAATAATTATTATTTTAATATAAAAATAATTGTTATCTTCTATATTATTATCAATTTATGTAAATATATTATTACAATTTTTAAAAAATTATTTTATATATTATTATCAATTTTATTATTTTTTAAATATTTATTAACAAAGTTATTATTAGAAATAAAAATAATTTAAGCAATTTTTAATTATTTATTATTTTAAAAATGTCAGATAATTTTAATTTTTATTTATAAAAATTTTAATATAATATTTTTAATAATTATTTTCTCTTTTTACTACACTTTACCTCATCACTATAATAATGATTGCATTTAAACATATATCTTACAAACTAATTTTAATCCTACCATTATAATGCTCAATCATACCACTATAATAATCAATCTCATTGTCATTATTATTTTTGATTTTATCGAAATTAATTTTATTATCCATCCTAATTACCATTAACAAAGGAAACATGGAAATATAATCTCCAAGGAAACAAAACAAAATGCAAAGAAGAAAAGAAGAATCAATTGTTCAATTGGGCGTTGTTGCAGAGCAGATGCCTTAGAATCAAAGGAGCAATGCACTTAACTTACCTCCTATCTCTTGCATATCAGAATCCCACCCAACTTTCATTAGGTGACCACGATAACGAGATTCAACTAGTTTTTAACCGTTCGATGTGGCTGTGTAATTAAGGGCCATTAGATTTACCTTTCCTTTTTGTTAGAGGTCAGACCCAAGGAAAGGAGTTTGCAAAAAAAGGAAACTAAAAAAAAAAGGTGGTGAACTAAAAATATTTTGATTTTGTTAAAATCAATGAATTAACTATTTACTAAGAAAGGAATAACAATTTTAATAGTTATTGGTATGGAAATTATAATTATTTTGATTGTTTTTATTTTACAATGAAAAATTCCAGTTGTTTTTACTTAATTCTTAGTCAATTCTCAATTTTCTATTTAATAATTATATAAATAAAATAAAAATGAACTTGAGTTTTATATAAATTATAAATAAAAAATACTAGAGAAGAGTCTGTCTATCCTGAAATATTATTTTGGTAAAAATATTTTTTATTTAATTTTAGTTATATAATATATTTAAAAATATTTTTTAATTTCTTAATGGTATCAAGCCTATTCAAACTCGATCTTCGGCAAAGTTATCAGATGGCCAAACGAGATTGGACTGTTTAAACCGATGAAAACATCTATTCCTTAATTTTGTATATATATATATATATATATATTTTTTTTTATAGCTGTTACTTTTACATAATAATCCATGATCCATTCATGCAAATTAGACTTCTTTGCGGGTCAAGCAAGACCTGAATCGAGACTCGAGCCCTTTGTAAAAATTTTTAAATTTGGACTTCACTTGATTTAGTTTATGAAAAAAATTGTAAATTTGTAACTTAGCATAAATAGTTTTTATTTAATCTTAATTAAAAAATTATTTAAAATTCATAAATAGATTTTTTTTATACATATGCAATTTG